AAAAATTTGACTGATAATCATATGTATAAATGAATCCTGGACTAGGATTTATATTTGTAATCATAAATCTTCCTTTTTGTTTTGTTTTGTTTTGTTTTGTTTTGTTTTGAACTCCAATTCACCCTAATAACAAACTTCAATTGTTCTGTGGACTTTAAATAAATTACTTGCTAACTACCAGTTCAATTAATTACAGAATGTATGCAATGAACACTTGGTGTGTAATCATCCAGGTCTAATACATACTTAGAAGTATGTACTCTACTTTCTAACAGTTTTTAATTAAATAAAACATTTCATTCTACTTGAACATTTTTAAGAAGCCTTAGTTGACTTAAAGTAATATTATTGTTACTTGCCTCAGTGGACAAATTGAACAAAATTTTGTTCATACAGCCTCACTTCTGACTGCTTTTCATCTCTGTGCTAAATCTGAACCTGCTGTCATTTGGCTGCAGAAGCTACTACCTACCACTTCCTCAAAGTTACATGAATGTTTTACTTTTGTAATATCTTTTTACCATTGATGCCTGAAAGTAAAGAGGGTCCAAAAAGTTCCGCGTTGGGATTTTGAGTGATAGAATACAATGGGATGATGCTTGATCAGTAATCTGCGTATTTATGAGTTTATTTTTGTACAGTTACATCCTCCTGAACCTCTTCACAAAATAATGTTCTTAGTAAGAGTTCTTATTTTTTACAAAACTTTATTTTCAAAGAGAATACTTTGCAATAAAATTACACTTATGGATGAACCTCATAATTGTTTAAGTAATCTTGAAGTACTGCACCAAGAGCACATAACAGCAAAATGATGGAACTTGTCATCTTTCCCAAGACTTTCTCACACATATATGACAATATAGATGAAGGGTGCAAAGCCACATTCATTATCACCATTACAAAACACACCAGCATATTACTATCTTGAGCCATCTAAACAAACAGGAAAAGGTGGGTGGGAGAGAGAGCAACACAATTTGCATAGTCCATGTTCCCTAATTTAGAAAACCATTTTGATTCATACATCTTCTGTTCCTGGCTAAGACAAGGATATCGTCAGAGGCACTTCCAAATGGCTCAAAAAGTTCCTTGCTCTGAGTAATTCTTTGCTTTTCATAAAGATTTGTTGCTAACAAATAGACTGCTAACCACTGTTCTTAGCAGAATAACCACTACCAGTAAAAATAGCAATCAGTGACATTGTGAAGCCTAGCAAAGGAAAAAAGAGCCCTGTGCTGACTGATGGAGATCACACACACTCTGTCTCCCTACATTTCCAGGCACTTTCCCACACTAGCCAGGTGCAAGGAACATGGTACAGATTTTCTTTTGCTTGGACATCTTTCCAGTAATTCCTTCAAATGTGACCCACCACTGGGGTCACCTCCTCCACACCTGTGTTGATGACCAGTGTGCCAGGCACATCACCTCACCGACCTGCAGCATTCCCAAGGAGAGAGGACTGTTGAAACAGGAGGGCTTACATTGAGCTCTGTGGAACACCTGATCAGTGTCTGGAACTGACTGTGGAGAGCTGTGATGGTTTTAGGATGCTTGTATTGAATGAATTGAACCAAGTTAATTCTATTAATTCTGCCATAGTCTTGGTGCTAGTCAAGCAGCAGAACTTGCCAAGGTTCCTTTCCATCTGGATTCTTGGAGGATCTCACACCCAGGCCCACAGATAACCTTGTGTGCATCCCAAACCATTTAAGAATAACAGGTCTCTCAATAAATATGTCAGAAAAAGAAATACCTCCTCTAGTCAAAAACCTTGCATTTTTCCCCATAGGCAATAAACTCACTGATCTATAAAAGGGGGGAAAGGCTGACAGACCAAAACAGATCTCTGTGCTTCCTGCGTACCTATTTGGAACAAAAATGCTGAGTTCATTGCTTTTCCTAGGGATGGGCTGTGAAACAGGCAGCAGCCATGCAGCTGGTGGAGCCAGAGCTGGAGCCATCCTGCACCACAGTTGCATCTTCCCTTCAACTGCCCAGGGAAGGGTGGGATTGAAGGAAGCAGTGATGAGGACAGAAGTGAGAGGTGCCAGAAAATAATGGCTTGTCTTCCAATACAATAGCTTAATCATTTCTACACAAAGGGCATTTCTTCCAGGATATCATTCTAATATAAAATTTCCTATCAGATAACCCTAGCAGATGTCCTGAATTGGGTTTTCCTGACTGCTTTGTATCAGCGTGGGAGGGAACACATAGAAACTCACTTCCAGGGGTGATGTGGGAGAAATAAGTCACAGGGAGTTACAGATTACATTTGGAGTTGGGAAAAAAAAAAAAAAAAAAAAAAAAAAAAAAAAGACTTGGAGATCCAAATCTGCCAGAAATTCATTGTTCATTTGGTTCCGGAAGCAGATCCCTAGAACCATATGTATTCATTTGACTTGAACATTTCCAACAAATATGTGGAAAGACACCGTCTGGGATTATCCTTTATAATTTTCCTTTCTGTTCCAGCAGTGTTCCGACCTGGAAGGAGTGAGCAGGGCAGCAGCCAGAAATCAGGCTCTGTTCCCCTGTGACTTTCTGATATAAAATGTTAACACTCGAGCGAGGACCATTTTTCCTTGCTTTTCTATTGCTGTGCTTAATCGTTCTCAGTGGTTCTTCCAGAATGGGCACAGCAATCTGTGAGCTCTGCTGCTCCATCTTCACCCTGCCTACTTCCTGCATTCTCCAACCATGCACTGCCTTTCTTGTTATTTGACTGAAGAGCCAATTCAGGTATGCAGATGCCTTTGTAGACTATGGGTGACCGGATAGCTTTAAATAAACCTGGCTCAAATCAGGAGGTGGCATGCATGAGATCCAGCTTGCTACCAGCTCCATGATGGCCTCATGCTTTGTCCTGCATTCCCTTAGCTGCCTGTCACCAAGTCTTCCAGCCATTTCCTGGAAAGCAACCAGTTGATTGTGTTCCTATTGTGCTGCAGCCACAAACCAGTAACAATGAAAACATGTCTTGTATCACTCTGCTGAGCTTTATCTCAGCACACTGCAGCCCCTGATGAAGAAAGCTCCATCATGCCTGCTTCACTGCACGTGGGCTGTAAATACCTGAAGATGTGTTTTGTATGAGTGAGGTGTCACAGAGGCTCTGACATGCCTTCTATTGCTTCTGGCAGTCTCTTGCCAATTCTCCATAACTCACTTTGGCATCTGATACCAGCTTCCAACATCTGAAAGCTGAAAATAGGAAAGGGCATTTGCAGGGCTGTGATATGATGTGTGCTTGGCTTTGAAAAGGATCTAAAACTCAAAGCAAGGGAGAGCAAAAAGGCATACCGATATCACCATGGATATGTGACATTAAACAAACCACTTGTCATGATACACAGCTGACAACTTGCCAAATGGAGCAGGATCTTCTTATTATTCATTGTTTTGCCCTGTAAAACCTCCCTGAGCCAGACTGGAGGTCCTGCTGAACAGCTTCTCCCAGAAGTGTACCTACTCAACATGCATCAGAAGAGCAAAACACAACTTTGTGATGACATCCTAACTAATATCTGCAGGAAAGAGAGCTGCAGGGTGAGGTCACTTACTCAAGGTAACTCTGGAACTCAAGGCAATCCCTTTCCTCCCAGGGCTTTAATTCCATCCTTGCCATGCATCTCAGCTGGGGTTTGAGTGGAGTATTCTTCTGGTGTCTTGTAAGTGTGAGGACTGCAACGGCCATGCAGAGATTTACTCTTCACAGAATCATGGAATTGAGAATTATAGAATATCCTGAATTGGAAGGGGCCCATAAGGATAATCGAGTGGAACTCCTTCCTCTGTCTCCATCACAGAAGAGAAAGGTGGAGCTGCTGCTCTTCCTTAATTTGCTGTGGCCAGGTGAGGGCCTCATCCACACAAAAGGTGGCAGGAGGGCTGCCAAATGCCCATACTTCCTAGTGACCCCTGTGGCCTTTGCCAACATCTCCTCCGCAGAAGCACTTGTGCACCTCTTACACTGCTGTGTCTTTGCATGGTACGCGGAGAAGCAGAATCTCCAGCTCAGCCTACATGATGTCTGCTTTGACCTCAAAAGAGGAGCGGATGATCCCTCCTGTCTGGGGAAGGGTATTCATGTGGGCACTCAAGAAGGGAAAGCAGAGAGGAGAAAGCCAGGTGAAAGCTGAAATCAAAGCAACATCCAGCTCTCCCCTGCAGTAGGCCTCCCCCATCCCACAGCATCTGTGTGCTCCTCCAGCACAACAGCCCTCCAGAGCAGGTTGGGTTTGGAGCAGAGGTGCACTGTGCAGTACTGCTGCTCTCAAGGCAGTTGGGGCACACTTGTCCCTCTAGGGTGGAACGGGGCAACCTGTGATAGGAGGGGCAGAGGACATGCTAGCCAGGACGGTCATATTCACAAAGCATTCACCCGCATTATCGACGTTTTTTTTTCCTTCTCCATTCTAAGAACATGGATCGTAAGCAAGAAAATGGGCATCGCCGGAAGGGCACCCGCCCCGGACACCCGAGGTGGCTGCTACACTGTGGGCTACGCGGGTACGGAGGGAAGCCGGGAGGGAGAGATGCGGCAGCGCGGCTGTGAAAAAAGGTGGATCTCGGATCTCGTCGCCGGGAGAGGCGCCGGCCCGTGGGAGCACCCACGCGCGTCCGCGTCCGGGATCGGACACCTGCACGGCGGAGGCCCGGGAGGGGCCCGGAGCGGGGCCTCTTTGAGAGCGGGCGACGCTGCCTTAGCGGCCGGCCCCACGCGTGTCCGCGGCCGCGCTGTGCCGGCGGGCAGCGCCCTCCTCTGTGGCATTGCCGGGGCTGCACTCCCCGCCGCGGAGCCCCGCTTTGTTCCCGGGGGAGCCCCACAAACACACGTGTGTGATCAGGGGAAGTGGGGCCTCTGGATGCTGTCCTGCGTGGCTCTGCGCGTGTATGCGTCCCTGCGTGTGCGTGTATGTGTGCGCGCTGGGTGTTGGTTGGTTTTCGTTGTTGTTTTGGGGGGGGGCGCCCCCCCCTCGCTTGCTCCAGGTTTTACTTCTGGTTGCCTGTGAGGGTTTTGCTCCTCCCTTCTGAAATCCTATATTAGCTGTGGCCAAAGCTGGGTAAGAAACACAGCTCATTGTTGGCAAGTGCCGATGAGCCTCGCAGAGGAGTGAGGAGCGGCGCTAGGGCTGCGGCAGCGGCAGAGCCCCGCCGTCACGTCAACCCGGGAGAGGAGTGCAGCGCGCTCTATGCGGGGTGACTGCTGGTGACTGATTTCACCGCCACCTTTGAAGGGAAAGAAGAAAGCAGCCGGGAGGTGAGTGCGGAGGTTGGGCAGCTGCTGCGGTGCGTCCCTTTTGTGTGCGGCAGGAAAAATGCGACCGCTTAAACACGCGAGAAAAGGTGCTCCTCGGCTGCGCGGCTTAATCCCTTATCTGTGCCTCGCGGTGTTTGAATTTATTTCTTTTTAATTGGGACTTAATTCCAAAAGTTGCTGACAGCGGCGGGGTGGGACTTGCCGATTCTTTGCTCGCTCTCCGCAAGTTGGAGGAGCGCCTTTGAACGAACGCCGCTTGTGACACACGAAGGGCTCGGGAGGCGCGGGGCCCCCGTCCGGGAGGAGGCAGCTGTGCCGGGTGCCGCACTCCGCCGATGGTGCGCACAAGTTGGAGCGGGCGGGCGCGCCGCGTGCCGGCTGAGCGGAGGGAAGAGGGGCGTTCGCAGGGCGGGCGCCGCTCGCGTTTCTCCCTTTGTACTCCACGGTAGAGACGCGGTAGGGAGGTTTCCCTCTGGAAAGAGGACAGCGAGCGGCGCGGTGGCTTTCCTCGGGCCGGTGATCGAGGGGCGTTCTCTTTAACACGCTCGCTTTCCAGGTGGGAGATGGCGGAACATATGATGGCCATGAACCACGGGCGATTCCCCGACGGCGCCGGCGGGCTCCACCACCACCCCGCGCACCGGCTGGGCATGGGGCAGTTCGCCGCCCCCCACCACCACCAGCAGCAGCAGCAGCAGCCGCACGCCTTCAGCGCCCTGATGGGAGACCATATACATTACGGAGCGGGCAATATGAACGCGAGCGGCGGGGTCCGGCACGCCATGGGGCCGGGCGGCGTGGGAGGGGGGCACCCGGCCGGCAACATGCCGCCCCCCGCCCGCTTCAGCGGCTCCCAGTTCATGGCCCCCCCCGTGGGCAGCCCGGGAGGGCAGCTTAGCGCCAGCATGCAGTTGCAGAAGCTCAACAACCAGTACTTCAGCCACCACCCGTACCCGCACGGCCACTACGTGCCGGACTTGCACCCCGGCGGCCACCCGCTGAGCGGCGGCGGACAGCATTTCAGGGACTGCAACCCCAAGCACGGCGGCGGAGGCAGCGGCTTGCCGCCCGCCGTGCCCCACGTCCCCGCGGCGATGCTGCCGCCCAATGTCATAGACACTGACTTCATCGACGAGGAGGTCCTCATGTCCTTAGTCATCGAAATGGGGCTGGATCGCATCAAGGAGCTGCCCGAGCTGTGGTTGGGACAGAACGAGTTTGACTTCATGACGGACTTCGTTTGCAAACAGCAGCCCAGCAGGGTGAGCTGCTGATTCATTTCCAACAAACAAAGGACTTTCTAGCGGTGCGAGTGAAAACATTCCCCCCAACGCGGTGTCTCACTTTTCGCTGCCCGAAAAGGTGAGAATCTGGAAAGCAGAGTAAACTATGCGCTTGCGTAAACTCTTTTTTTTTTTTTTTTCTTTTTTTTTTTTTTTTTTTTTTTTTTTAAATTACTGCCACTTCTTATTTTTGTAGCCTCGACATTCACGTGTCCTCTCCCCCCCTCACCTCTCCCTCCCATCCTTCCCCCATCCCCCCGGGGATCATTCCCATCGAACTGTGCCTTTGGGCGCTGTTTGCCCCCTTCCTCTCTCCTGGTTTCCTCGCAGGAACGTGCCCATCACTCCCACCGTGCTGAACAGATAGATGTTAATCTTGGCAAACTGCTTGATCTTGGGGATTTTGGAAACGATGGTTTCTAATGACTCGAGCTGCATTTAAATTCTGAGGGAACAGGGAAAAAGGCATTCGTTGGTTGCATGAACTTTGAAGGGCAGATACTACTGCACAAATGCTGCCATCTTGCTTAATTTTTAACTATGCATCGCAGTGCAGGCTAATGAATACATTATTTTATTTTATTTTTCGGATATGCTAAACTGGAAGCTTAGCAGATGTGGGCCAAACCTTTCCGGATCAGAACAAGTAATACTGTTACTTAGAGTCTGCTGCCCATTCCCCCTCCCCCATATGTACAGACAATAATATGGTGTGGATGGAATGCTGACTAGTGGCAAACATTTCACAGGTCTTCTTTCTATCTCTTTTTTTTTTTTTAATTTTTTTTTAATTTTTTTTTTATTTTAGTTCAATTATTTTCTATTCTTCAGCATTTTGACACTGTGCTAATATAGTTTATTCCGTACATGAAAAGATACTACTGTGTTGAAAGCTTTTCAGGAAATTTTGACAGTATTTTTGTACAAAACATTTTTTTGAGAAAATATTGTTAATTTATTCTATTTTAATTTGCCAATGTCAATAAAAAGTTAAGAAATGCTTTAGTTTTTCTAGAAGTCATTTACCAGTATTTTTCTTCGAAACTCCCCCCACTGTCCCCAGTAAGTAGAGCATCTCTCTGTAGTGTCATGTCGGTGTTCGAAAAGACATTCCAGGATTTAAGGTACACTGCACCCCTATATATGTCATGGTGAACTCGGTAGGTGAGCAGGATTTAAACATACTTACAGCATACAGCCTCATACGTAGCATTGTAATATGCCTGTCAGTGTGGTTTTATGAAATACAAAGTTGCCGAGATGCGACTTTTTTGTGACTTGCCAACATACTTGCTTTAAATGTAGTTGTCCAGAGTTATGATGCATAAAGTATTTATTATATTTATCTATTAAACTTGTAATTTTATAAATCTGCTTTCATTTATATAGTAGACTTTTTTTTTTTTCCTTTTTGCATATTTATTATCTCATCTGAAAGAACTACTTTGAAAGATTGTTTGACAGGTAATAACTTCTTGTAACTTGGGGAAGGAGGGTGGTGGGCTGCCTCCTCTCCCAGAGAGGGTCAACAGAGGGGAGCGAAGCCCAGATCTGCATCACGTGAGCACTGACCTCGTTCCATTCCTAGAGACTTAGGAAGAAGCTAGTGTATATTCCTAAAATATTCCTCCATGGGATATCTCTCACTCCTTTCTCCCATAGAATTGCTACCGCCTATGCCCGCTGAGACAAATCCAAAGTATCCACTTTTAAGTATTTGTGAGGGGAAAAAAAGGCCACTTTTTTGACATCTTGCTCCCTCATTGCCAACTGTTGCAGACTTCTGCCCTCACTCCACCTTTGGCAAAGCTGACATGTAAGTTAGTTGTAAGTTATTGCTTCAGAGAGGACTGTAGGACCAGGCCTTGGTAATACACATATTCCCATTAACTTCCCAAATTCATTACAGGTATGATGCCCCCATGCTTTCTTCTCGCTTAACTTTTTCAACATTTGTTCTGAGTTTATTAGAAAGAAGAGCAACGCGGTGGAGGTAGTTGAAGTCTAAACTTGGGCACATAAACAGGAGAGGATATCACCGCACCAAGGGAGTGCAAATGCACAGTTATTAATCCAGTGGGGAAAACAAACTGATTACTATTGATAAAAACTGTCCCAGCTGGGATGTAAAGTGCTATTTGGTTTTCTTTGCCCTACATGGACAAGAAGGAGTTAATATGTTTTATGATGGTAAGGAGGAAAATAAATAAATAAATAAAAGCTATAATATTAACAAAAGTAAATATAAGGAAGTGAACACTTCTGGGAAAAGGTGATGATAGCATGGTCCCAGCAGTTGGTAACAGCTCATGTTAGACAACCCAAGAGCTTAAAAATGAGAGGCCGGTTCCAGCCAGCACTTGCTCATGTTGTGCTGCAGCAAACTGAACATCAAATAGGAGCATTTAAAATAACATATGAGTGTTTAGAAGAATACAGGTGTACTTTGCCCAATTTGCCACTATATAAATCCCTTTTCTGTGCTAGGGCTGTTTGATCTGCACACATTGCATTGCTTTCTTCTGGAGAGCATCTTCTGATTCTGATCAACTTCTTACTGAGCAGATCATCAAATTATGGGCATATCAAACAGCATCAATGTTTAAATCCCCTACATTCTCCCAAAATAAAAGGAGATATTCCCACTTATATTATAAAGTACTTTTGCTTCATAATGTTGTTTAAGCAAAAGAATTCTTCACAGTTGAGACATCACTACTTACATCATAGAATTGTTGAATGGCTTAGGTTAGAAGAAACCTTAAAGGTTATCCAGTTTCAACCCCCTTTGCCATTGGTAGGGTTGCCCCCCACCAGCTCAGCTGCCTAGGTCTTCAACCAGGCCGTAAGTGTCCTCAGGGATGGGGCACTACAGCTTCTCTGGGCAGTAGTGCCAGCACCTCACCACTCTGAGAATCTCAACATCTAATCTAAATCCTTTTCCAGGAGCAGGCAGTTTCATGGGCATACTGGCGAAGCCTATTGGTGTACAACTCTGTAAAACTCCCAAGAGCTGCTGAAGGCTCTGGTGTTGGGCTAGGCATTGCCAAGGATTTTTGCAAATTCTTAGAAGTAGACCCTGGGGAAATTTGCAAAACAATCATTTTGCCTACACTGTCCCTTAATTTCCAATGAAGAGTCACATCCCAGGGGATATTACAGTTCTGTATATTCTTATGCATAATACCATCTTCTGAGCAATATTGGGGGCCTGACCCTCGTCTTTCTGAGCTGAACTCCACGGTAATGCTCCCAGTGGCTCATGCAGCTGAAAGAGCAATGGGCCTTTGAGTTGATCCCATATTGCTTATAAAAAAGTTAAAATAATTTATATTTTGAGCACAGTAATCAGTGAAAAACACACAATGACCCAGTTTTCCAGCTACCATCAAACACTGGCCAATGACGTTGCAGCCCTGTGTCCCATTAGGTTGCTTTTAGCATAGGAAACTTGACCTCTGTACTTTGGCTGTTTTTCAAGAACTTCGAACATGGTACATGAGATCTGCTCCTCTTTAAGCCACGTCCATAAATAGCCACACTGCTTTATTCAGTACGGAGATCAGCCTTAAGCCGCTCCGCCACGCAAGACACGCTGGGTGGAAAAAGAGGTGCTGATGTGTGTTATCCTCCGCCTATTCCACCGGGTCTGAAGAAAGTACGGACAGCCGCTGGGCAGGGTGAGGAAGGACCATTCCCCAGCTGGACGTCGGGCCCGGGGATACTGGGGGCACCGAGCACGGCCCCGCCACAGCACCTGCGCGGGGCGGCGCGCCGCGGCGGCACCATGGCGCCCCCCTGTGGAAGACCGCCGGCCCTGCGGGCTCTGGCCGGCTCCACTCTACTCAGCCCGAGGGGATGCGGGGCCTCACGAAATTTCTTACTGTGGCTTTTAGAAAAAGAGCAAACCAACCTCAAGAAAAAAAAAAAAAAAAGAGCCTGTTGGTTGCAGGTTTTATTTAAAAACAATCAAGCAAAACCGGAAAAAAAACCAAAACAAAACAAAAAAATAACCAACACCGTTATATAAACAAGGATTATTCCCTGTTTATCTTGTCTTGCTAGGTGGATTGGAAAATTTCAACATCTGGATTCGTAGAGTTCCTTTCATTTGTTTCTTTTTTTTTTTTTTCTTTTTTTTCTTTTCCCTAAGAGATGTTTTCCACACACCAGATTCACCAGAGAATTTGGGTGCAAAAGCACTGTGGAACACTGGTGATGGGCCAAAGGCTGTGGCACATATCAGTGGCGCCACTTGGTAATACTTGCTGATGGTGTGAAGCATTTCTGCAGCTCCTCCTGGCTATGTGACTCAGTGGGACCTAACATGGGGCTGGTAACCAAATGGCCCACTTCCTCCTTGAACTGGAAATTCTGCAAGAGCTAGAGTGGGCAGGGGCATGGAGATAGTAGAGATGGTGCCAGAAAAAGCAGCTCTCGTCCATGACCTTACTGCTATCCTTCTTGAAGCCTTCATTTCCTCCTAAAAGCTTTACTGAGGGGCTATCATAGACAGGAGTAAGAAGTGTCTGTGTTACAGATTTGGACTACGTGTACTGACCTTAACCTGATCTATTTCTGTACCATCAGTCTTAGGCATAGAAGTGTGAACAAGGACTATGTGACATTGGCAGGAACTGTTTAAATGACAATTTTTATTTATTTATTTTTTAATGCTCAGGCAAATATATTAGATAAAATTGTATGTACATTAAAGCCAAGCTGAGGAACAAAAGCAATTGGGAACTCATGGCAGCAGCATTTTCTCAGGGTTTCATGGATTCTAAGTGAATCGTGTTGTCAGTACAGAGGAGGTGTTTCATGTCTTTTCTTCAAATATATTTACACATTTCAATATGGTGCCACTATTGTGCTCACGCACAAGAGAAAGCCGAGTCCCTGTAACTGCAACGATAATGAGATACATCAAATGACTGAACAGATGAGCCACTGTTATAGTAGGTTCTCTGTTATTTGCCTCATTTTTAGAAGGAAATTTGCAGCAGCAGGTTTTTAATAGAGAAGGATCAGGTATTTCAGTCCCAGTCCATCTGCTGTGCCCTCCCCCTCTTAAAAATTTACACAGGGGCAATCTGATCACAAACCTGAAGCAGACTTTTTCAGACACATCTTTAGCATACTTAAAACAAAGTTTTTTCCAGCTGATCACTTCTCTCACCTTTTTCTTTCAGCAGGACATTTTGTTATTTTGGTTTACTGCAATGTTCATCTGGCAACATATTCCCTATTTTATCAAGAATAAAGTAAAATAAAATAAACTTTCAGAACTTTTAAGTTCCTAAAACTCTAGTTGAAGACAATAGAGCAAATACGAAGCACCTCTTGATCACAGAAGCTAAATATTTAGCAGATGCTCGTCACAAGGAGATCCTGGAGCTGCACCTACTTATCTGCAGTTCTGACACTAAGCCTCCTAACAATTGCTCTGTGCATGTGATACCACAGCCTGCTTGGCAAACATGAGTGCGCTGCCGGGGAGAGGGTGGAGTTGTTGAAAGTCTTTACAATGTCTTATCTGCTGCTATTTAAACAGAAGTAACACAGAGGATTTCAGATTTCTCACTCCCTTTACCAGAATAAGTACTTAAAGGCTTGCAACTCAAAATGTTTTTTCTTCCAGCAGCATTATTTAGTCTAGTAATCAATATTATCTCTGTCTACAAACACGTCCTCCATCAGCTTTGAATAAAGTAATGTGTGCATTTTGAAGGCAGGAGTGGATTCCTGGAATTTTCCAAAGACAAATCATTGCACCAAGCCTCTGTACACACCTGTTTTTTACAGAAGCTAAATAGTGATAATTTGGGTTGCTCTTAGGTAGGGTGCTGGGCTGCTAATCTGCAGGCTGCACTAAGGCTATTGCATGATCCAGCAAGGAGGTGAAGGATAAGGCATGTGCATGGTGTGGAGATGAGTATACACATTTCTAAGTGGTAGGAAAAAAATAATTTAAAAAAAAAAAAGTTACAGTCACCACAAAGAAAGTTTTAGGGATTAGGTGTCAGGGGAACAGTCCCATTCCCAGCCCAACACCATTCTATAAGCTGTTTTAGCCAAAACACAGACTTGGAGCCTGTGCTTAGGCCTCCTTCAAGCCAACTTCTCCATTTTTAAAACCTCTACAATCCAATAACTTGGATTCACATTGTAGCACAGTTATCTTGTGGCCAGGAGTTATCACAGACCCCATGTTTTCTCTTCTCCTCACCTAAGTTTAATCAGGGCAAAACCAAGTCATTGAAAGAAACCTGATCTAGCTGTGGTGTCCCTGACCACTGCAAGCGAGTTGAACAAGATGGGCCTCATCAGTCCATTCCAACTCAAAGGATTCTATGATTCTATGAAGGTGCTTTG